CCGCGCCTCCCCGGCCGCCGAGCGGCGAATTCCGGGGGGGAGGGGAGGGGGCCGGGACGCTCCCTCCCCGCGCCGCCGAGGCCGGGCGGAGGGGCCTCGCCGCCGCCGTCCGCGCGCCGCGCGCCCTGCGCACCGAGCGCCGCGGCCCGCTCAGCCGTCCCCCCACCCCCGTTACCTGGAGGTGCCCGCGACCCGCCGCTAGTTGCGCTCAGGCGGGAAACGCGCTCACCGACACCATCAGCGAAGCGCCCAAAATGGCGGACGTATCAAGCAGGCCTTGAGTTCCCCCCACCCTCCCTCCGGCCGCCTCGCAGCCAGTCGCGGCTCTACCTCCGCCCCCAGACCCGCGCTCATTGGCCTTCCTCTCCCGCCCCCTGCAACCTATTGGATCGCCCAGCGGCCCGGTTGCGCCCACTCCGATTGGCTCACTGGCCCCGTCAGTCAAGCGCGAGGGGAGCATTCTTTTCCCATGGACTTGACGGATCCGGAACCTCTAGGACCCCGGAGTCTGGAGAAACAAATCAGAAACCCGGAGAAACCTAGCTGGGTCCCCCTACGCCGTAGCAACAGCGGGGCCCGTTTGACGGACGCTTTGGACCACCAATCCGATAGCCAATGCTTTTTTAAAACGAAATGGAGCCAAACCAATCCTGGCCGCGGAGCCGGGAGCGGCAAGGGAACCAATGGGGTAGCGAGACGGGCGGGTCGGAGGGCCCGGAGGAGACCCGTGATGACGTGAGCCACAATACGTTCGGACGGCCGAGCGCGGCCGAAGCTGGGGAATTAGCTCAAATGGTAGAGCGCTCGCTTAGCATGTGAGAGGTAGCGGGATCGATGCCCGCATTCTCCACGGGTGAATTTTGTAGGGAGGCGGGCATCTGGATCGTCTGTCCTGGTTCCCTTTACCCGAGTGGTGGCTGTGCCAGGAGTTGGGGCCAAGGTGTGAGGATCGCTCTATGTCAGGACTGGGGTCCCGGTGAGGGAGGGGTCGGTCGGCCCTCCCAGTGGTGCGTCTATCCCCGCCGCAGGGAGATACGCGGGTGGGGGCGTTCCTTTTTTGTCTTACAGAAGGATTTACACCGGAGCCTCTTCCGAAATGCTGGCCCAGGGCCCCCCACCCCCTGCCCGGCCTCCCCGGGAGGGCTGCGCCGGGGCACCGAAGAGTAGCCCACCTTGGCCCATTCCAGGCACTTTCCAATAACCTGTCTCACTTCTAAGTAGATGCGAAGCGCCGCCCGGAGTCGTGAGTCAATCGACAGGAGAGCGCAGGTTGGCAGCGAGGCTGAGAAGCGCAGGCCAGGTGAGGGTCGGGTGGAAGCCAGCCCGAGGTCGGCAGAACGCAGCATCGCACACCTGCGGCTGTGCGTGCGCTCGGGGAGGCTTGCGCTGCCGGCTGTGGTGGGGGGCCCCTCCTGGGCCGGTGGCATCTCAACCCACGAACAGGGAAGAAGACAGGGCCGCGGTTGGGTTGTGGTGGGAGAGGGACGTGGCAGGGAGGGGAGGTGGTAGAGGTGGCCGCCGTGGTGCAGGGCCTTGGGGACAGTGCCCCCAGGCCCAGGAGAAACCAACGATCCTCAGTGCCCAGACTGCACTTAGGCACCAGGCCTGGAGTCATAACGGGGGCTCCATGCAGGGAGGTTGGTGGTCTCTTGTAGTCTCTAGGGCAGCTCACTCCGGTGGCGCTGGCTTGGTCAGGGACGGCCACTCCAGCTCAAGGAAGGCAGGGCCTGGTTACTGTGGGGCTTCCCCAAGCTGCTTCCTGAGAAAAGTGACAAGAGCTTGGCCACTGGGGGTAGGGAGGGCAGGACCAGTGGAGTTGGCCACCGGCTTGCCTTCCAGGTGTTCGGCACCTTTCTGCACCCATACCCCCATCCTTTGCACCAACCCCAGCTGGCCTGAGCTCCCTCCGTCTCACTGGCTCAGGCGCTCTGAATCCCCATGCCAAACAGCCGGGAGAACGAAACCGAACGGAGCTGAGTCAACCCCAGTGCATGGGAAGCTGGGCCCTCTGGGGCAAATGTGCCCCTCCCCCAGCTCACCCCTTCAGCAGAGCCTGAGGCAGACTCTCTAGAAGGACTTTTGTGGTTGGTAGCTCCAGACAGTACAGTACTATCATCCCCATTTTACAGATTAGTTAACAGAAACCCAGGCAGCATTCAGACACCAGGTGTGGCCCGTATTAGCTGAGTAAGCTCGGCTGGGTGATCTAACCTCTCTTGACTCTCCAGGTTTTATCTGTAGAGTGCTGATAATACCTACTGACCTACGTCCATGCCCTGAAGGGTGCTGGACCTCTAGGGAGATAGCACCCAAGGGCAGATATTATTCGCATCAATCCAGCTGCTCAGAGCGGCTAGGGGCCTTGCCCAAGGCCACACGGCAAGTGAGGAACACAGTCAAGATTGAAACCGGTTCCGGAGGTGTGCTGGTGCAGAGGGTGAAGGGAAGGACAGATACACAGATATCCTGGGGGTGGGGTGCAGGTCAGCCTGGCAGAGAACTGCGTTAGGATGGTGCACAATGCACATTCGTCAGAGGATCCAACGAGGGTGATCGAGGTCTGGGGGAGGAGAATGAAAGGGGCTCATGGAGGCATTGGAGGATAAGCAAAGGAACTTAGGGCTTATGCTCAGAGAGGGAGGGCCAGGAAAAACTTCTGAGTAAGACAGGGGCGTGTTCAGGGCTGGCCACATTTTGGAAAGGACGGATTAGAGCGAGGGCCGCAAGGCGGTGCTACAGCGCGGGGCCAGAGGGGCAGGTCCCAGGAGCTAGACCGAGGAGGAGGGGAGAGGCTGCAGGAAACCCCTGGACCGGGTGGTGCCTGACAGGGAGGCTGGGCAAGGGCTCGGGACCTGCCCTCCTGGGAGCCTGGGGAGAGCCCAGCCACACACACAGATCCCTTTACTCATTCATCATCAGAGAACTTGCCAGTACATGCTTCAGGCTCTTCCATCCCAGCCTCTGAGGAGGGTCACAGGGACATGTGCACTATAATTAAATGAAATAATGCAGTACCTCGCCCAATGTAAGTGGGCCCCAAAAGTCTCCAGTTATGATGAGCTAACCCAACGGGAAGGGCTGAAGTCAAGGAGGACTTCCTGGGGGAAGAGGAGGTATTTGAGCTCAGCCTATCTCCCTGAGAGCCCTAGAGAGCCATTGACAGGCTTTAAGCAGGAGAGGGACTTTGAACCTTTGCATTGGTCTCGGCATCCTAAAACTTCTAGAGTTCATGGGTCATCATCTTCCCCTTTCCCCCCTAATCCTTTCATGGCTTAATTTTTAATGTTTAAAATTTCAATCCAGGGGCGCCTGGGTGGCTCGGTCAGTTAAGCATCTGCCTTCAGCTCAGCTCATGATCCCAGGGTCCTGGGATCGAGCCCCATGTCAGTCAGGCTCCCTGCTAAGTGGGGAGCCTGCTTCTCCCTCTCCTTTTGCTGTTCCCCTTGCTTGTGCTCTCTCTCTGTCAAAGAAAGTCTCTTTTAAAAAATAAAATAAAACACATTTTCAATCCATCTAGACTTAAAAAAAATTATATGAATACTTTCAGATCTATTCAACAGTAGAGAGAAAAGTGTAATAATGAATGCCCACATACCCATCACCCAGCTATTACCCCCTTAACTTTTGGGAACAGACGTAGAGCTGCCAAATTCTAATTCTATCAAGTAATGATTTTTAAAAAAAATTTTTAAGTCATGATTTTTTCCAAAAAAACACCTTATACTATTACCATCACTTCATAAAAGAAAGGACATTTTAACATATACATACACTCAGACAGAAAAAGGCTTTAAATTGAATAAGCTCAACTTGGGGAAACCGCCTCCCCACCCCGCATTATCTTTCCTATTGTCACGTCCCTGGGACTCAGACCTGGTCTGAGGGCTAGAGTGAGGCCACCCTGGCAGAGGTGGGCAGGTGCTGGGCCAGGTCACCTGTAAGCTGAGGGTGATGTCCAATGGGGGGGGGGAGGGGCAGTGATGTGAAGAGTCAGCCAAGTGGCTCTCAGGAAAGAACCCTACAGGAGCCAAGTCCTACCCAACTCCCCCAGCCCCCAGGTTTCTCAGGGACAGAATCTTCCACACCTACCACATCCCTGTTCTCCAGCATCCTGCCTGGCAGTGGATGTGACACCAAGATCTGGCCACATGGATTTTGTTCAGCCACCCAGGGCAGCTGTAGCCCCAAGGGGGCTGCAGGGCCCCGGGGCAAGGAGGAGCTCCACACCCATTCCGGATGAGGGTTGGAGGGCTGAGCGGAGCAAGTGATAGGGCCAGTGGGAAGGGAGACCCCGCAGGACTCAAAGACCGGCGACAGAGACTTGGGGAGTAGTGGGTGTCACTGCAGAGGGGAGGGGTCTTGGAGGGAAGGTGGAAGCCCTTGAGCAGGGCCCACCTGTCGGTACTATTTCTTGTGGAAAGGAATGGTTGAACAAATGAGTGAAAAAAATTCTGGCTCTGTTATTTTCCCCCAAGCTGTGGTCTCCTCAACCACAAACTGGGGACACCATCTACCTAGCTGGGCTGTTGTGAAGTTGAAATGACACAAGCCAGGTTAACTTCACCCCCTCATTTAAGACACAGCTAAGGTATCGCCTTCTCCAGGAACCGCCCCCCCCCCCCCCCCCCCCCCCCGCCCTCCCATCTGAATAGAATATTCTCTCTGGGCCCCCGGATATCTCAACACAGTGCTCCGGCCCTCAGCTTTGGAAACTGTCTGTAGCACCCTCAAGAGAGAGGCCCACATCTGACTAATCTCTGGGTCCCCCAGCATGTGATTTAAGTGCAGGGCTCTGCACACAGTGGGTGCTTACTGAATTCTCTGCACATAGTGGGTGCTGACAGATTCACTTGGAAGATAGCAGGCGGAGCAGGTTGGCCCCCATTCCTCCTAGCTGACCTCATGGCAGGAAGGGGTCCAGAGAGTGGCCTCTGGAGACAGGCCTGGGATGCTGGGGAGAGGGGGGTGGAGGGCTGCAGAGTGTGTCTCCACCCTCCCCTCAGCCCACGCCGGCTGTCGCCAGGGGTCAGCAGCTCAGCCCGCTCCTTCTTCACCCCTTGCCTGATCCCTGGCTGGCCCTAGGAGAATGGAGGGAGCCCCCACCCCCCATGAGTGAGAGGAAGGGCGGGAGAGTGGCCTCCTGCTTCTGAGTCAGCCAAGTCCCCCACCCCATCTGCCCCAGTTGAGATTAGTGCTTTCGTTAGCACCTCAGGGCTTGTGGCCCGACCTGGACGAACAGGAACCCCGAGTGCTTGGGAGGCCCCAGGCCCCTGCAAGCAGCTCCCTGGGGCAGGGGACCCCACCTTGGGCCTGAGAGCTCTGGGTGCACACTCTAGCTCTGCTGGTCCTTAGCCGTGTGGCCTTGGGCAAAAGCCTGTCACCTCTCTGAGCTTTAATAGGTCCCAGCTTCCATTTACCAAGGAAGTGCTACCTTCCAGGCCCTTACTGGGCAAGGCTTCTCTCTCGATAGGCATTATCTCATGGAAGCCTAGAACAGTCCTAGGGGGCGGGGGACAGCGCCCTTCCTTAACAGATGCAGCCAGCTGGGTGAAGTGAGTAAAGAGGTGAAGCTGGCCTGCCTTCCAGGCAAATCCAATCCCTCCTGTCTGCAACGGGTCCTTTAGCGTAGGTCCCCACCAGGTGGCATAGCAACCCTGGGTCGGTACTCAGGCCCCGACTTCCTGAGCTCCCTGTTGCTTGCACTGATGGCGGGTCACCTCATCCTCTCCAGTGTCTGCTCTTGGTCCCAGGGGCATCACCACCAAGGCTAACCATGACCTCAGGGAACTCCTGGGCAATCAAGGACAGGGGAGGCAGCTCCCCGGAAGTCTCAAGAAACCAGGCCTGGCAGGCTTATGTACCTGACGTCCCCAGCTCTGTCCCCTGGTCGAACAGTCTCGGGAGCCCCGAGGGCCACCACCTTTCCCAGCACTGGGGCCCCGGGATCTGAGTATCCTGTGGTTTCCCCATCCTGGAGGCTGTCACCTCCGCATTCCAGGCCCTGGGAGGTGGGCCAAGGGTTCAATCTTCAGTCCTGCTGGGAAGCCCTTCTTCCAGATCTCTGTGTTGATTCTTAAGTGGAGTGTGTGCCCGGGACTCCGCATGGTGGTTCTTCTCTAACCTCCCTGCAACATTCCAGCCGGGGGTAGGTCCTTCCTGCCTGGCTGGGGGGCGGGGGGGGGGGGGGGGAGGGGGGGGCGGGGCCCGGCTTCGACGCGCCCCCGGGTTTGCTGACCTCTCAGTGTCCTGCAGGCTGGAGACCCCCCAGGGGCAGGCAGCAGGCCTTATCTCTCGGTGTCCTCCAGCACCACCCCAGTGGGCAACAGGGCAGGCCTGGGGCCGTGTTTACTGCCTGCCTCTGTGAGGACCAGGCTCTCCAGGGCCCGTCTGCTGGAAAGGACAGGGCGGCAGCCAGGGAGGGCAGGAGGGCTGGGAGGTTCCCGCCCCCACCCTGGGTGAGCACGGCCTGGCAGCCCCATCCGCTGGGGTCCACACGGATGGCAGGGCCAGGAGGGATTCCCTTGGACAGCAGAAGCCTGGGGCGGCCACACATGGCAGGTCAGATGGAAGCAGACACTGGCCGAGGAATAGCCCAAAGCCCAAGTACGTAATCTGCGGAGCCCAGCGCAAAACGAAAACGCAGGGCCTCTTTCTTAAGAACTATTCAGAATATCGGGATGGCAACAGCAGAGCACAAAATAAGGTGCAGGGGCCCTTCGTGACGGCACGAGTCAGGCCTCCTGCCCACACGTCTCTGCCCAGGGGTTCAGCCTACCGGGTGGGGGCCTGATAGAGACACGGTGCTCCGGAGGGACAAGTGCGCAACTCTGACAGCTGCCCACGGGAGGGCCGGAGGCCGGGATCCACTCTGTGAGGACACTCGATTCAGAAACACACATGGCACCAAAGAATGGCAGTGACGTTTTAAAAAAATTAAGTTTATAAATATTTTCTCCACTGTACAAAGTTTTCCCAGCCCTGCCCACCCCGTCACTTGTTTTCACATTTCTCGCGTTTTTAAAGTCCCAACTATATTTATTTTTTTTTAAATCATAAAATATATTTTTTTCTTTGTTCATATTTAAAACTATTTACAAGGGCGCAGAGAGGCCAGGGCGGCCCGGCAGAGGTCAGGACGAGTCCGTGCAGGGGGACGGAGGCGGGGGGAAGAGATGGAAGTAACTCCTCTCGGTGGCGGGCGAAGGGGGGTAGCTGTCCTCTGCCGACAGGTACTGGCTGTGGGGCGTTGGCGGCGGCGGGTAGGGGTCTGAGTCCGAGTTCAAGTCCAGGTAATACTTGCTGGCCTTCCAGCGGTTGGCACTGTAGTCGCTGTCGCAAACATCGGTGCTGCAGGGCGTCGTGGGGGGCGCCATGCCGCGGACGATGTAGGGCCTAAAGGGGACACGGGAGTGGGGCCTCGGCTCAGGGACCAGGCACGGGGGCCCCCCACTCGTGCGGTTTCTCGGAGCCGCGCGAGTGGGCGTGCCTGCACCCGCACCCCAGGGCGGCCGAGCCCAGCCCCCCGCAGGGACCGCAGGCCCGGGCCAAGGCTGCCTTCGCGGAGCGCCTGGCCTCCAGAGCCGGCCGGGCTGGCCTTGGGCGACTTACTACTTAACTTCTCTAGGCTTCAGTTTCTCGTTGGTAAAATGAGGAGGATAAAACAGTGCCCGGTTCCAAAGGGGCTTATGAAGGTTAGATGAGATTCTGCATGGAAAGTGCTAGAAACAGGGCCGGACACGGGAAAGTGCTTGACAACCGGTCCCCATGTTATCATTCCTATACATGTCGGCAGACCAATGGGCCTGGAAGGGTCCCCTCTTGAGTTAAGGCAGTTCTGACCCAGGAGATGCCTCCCAGAGGTCTCCTGCACCCTAAGGTTCTGTGCGGGGCTGCTGTACGGCCTGAGCTGGGGGTGCGGCCATGGTGTGTTTCAGAGACCCAGGGGGCTCATCGAGGGCGAGGAGGTGGAGCCAGCACGGGGCACGTGAGGCTGAGAAGGTGCAGCAGGAGGACGTGCCTCACAGGACCCTGGGGGAGGGGCAGGAAGGGACCCCGACAGACAGTGTGGGAGGGAAGAAGTGGCACAAAAATCGGACCTAAGGAGTAAAGCCGGGGGTGGACCAGAGACTGAGGGGTCTGGCGAGTGTGCATGTGACAGCCTGGGGACAGCCACCCACAAGGCCACTGGGGACACATTGGGGCACGGAGGCACCGGGGGGACCACGGCAGGTCCCTGACTAGGGCAGTGACTCAGTAACGAGGGGCACCTCTCCTCTTCAGGCCCCAGAGTTCCTGAAATGGCCACCAGATGGCAGGCGACGCTCTGAGGCGCCTCTGCACGGGAGGTGGGGGGGGAGGGGAAGGGAGGGGAAGGGAGGAGGAGGAGGAGGAGGAGGAGGGGGGAGGGGGAGGAGGGGGAGGGGGAGGAGGAGCCTCCACTCCCAAGCCTCCGCCTCCACCTGCCCCTTCAGGTCGCTCCTGTGGGGTGAGGGGTCCAGTGCACCTGTGCGGCAGGCCCTGCAGGCTGAGAGCACTGGGTCGAAGGTCACCTCGGGCCCTGACCTGGCCCCTGGACACAGGCCAGCACACCCAGATCCCTCTTCTCGACATTCTCAAGTGTCCGCCCCCCCCCCCCCCGGGCCCAGGGAGGCAGGGAATGCAACCCCAACTGGAGCAGACCTGCGGGTTTCCCTGTGGTGGGTAGGAAGAGAGGATCATCCAGTCGAGGGCCTGCTGTGGCAGGTGCCACCACAGCCCTCCTGTGACTTGGATCTGATCCTTCCGGGACGGAGGCAGCAAGCGGTGGTGCTGCCGGCGTCCTGCAGCTGGATTCAAACACAGGCAAACCTTGGCCCCTGTGCCTTGGCCTCCCTGGGCAGTGGGGGCCCGGCCACGCCACAGTGGGAATCCCCTGGTGGCGTCATTCAAGGCCACGCCTGCCTGGGTGTGTCCCCAGAGCTACTTCGAGATTCCAGAGCCTGCTCAGAACACGGGATTTGGTTGGTTTCTGGACTCAACAGGTAGGCCCGGTTCACTCTATGGGGAGGCAAGCCAGGCACGGTCTGAGGGCTCAGGAGAGCCCACCAGCACCCTGGACCTCTCTGCCAGGTTTCCGCACCCAGGAAATGGGGACAAGACCCCTCCTCTACCACAGGCTTGTCCAGAGGCCCAGACGGCCACAGGTGTGCAGGGCTGTGGCAAGGGACTTCGTACCTGTAGGGTCTCGCGGTGGTGGGAATGTTTGAAGAGTAGAACATGTCCACGTTGTACAAGGAGGGGTCCGTGGCGGGGGATGGTGGCGGGTTCAGGATCTGAGGAGAGCCAAGCAAGGGTTACGCGCTTCCGGTGGCGCCCCGGCCTACCTGGCTACGTGGGCCCCACACTGTGGGGATTCAATAGCTGTCCTGTCACCCCTGAAGGTGGTCACAGTGAGAGGCAGTGGCGCCTGTGGCCCAAATACCCGCCCTGCAGACCAGCAGGGACCCCAGGTCCACACCCAGATGCGCAGCCGGGCTCTAAAGAGGTCCCTGGAAGCCCGCGCCAGCCCCTTGCACTGCCCCCCAACACCCAGCAGATGTCCCTGCGGGTCCCGGGGTGTACCCCGGTGCCGGTGGGCGGCTCATGAGGCTTCCCTGGGCCTTCTCTAACTCCCCTTTTGGACTGTGACTTCCCCGTTTCTCCCCACATGGTGTGAAGACTTAATTTCTACGAGACCCTCCTTAATTCCTAACACTAAGTTGGCTCCGCATTCCGGCTGGAACCCTGACCACGTACAGGGCGCGCCACGCTGAGGGAGGGGCCCCAGCCCCGCTGGAGGCCCCCACAGCCCCTCCACGCAAATCAGGTGAAGGTGCCCCTTTCTCAGGGGATGTATTGCCCCAGAACTGTGATAATGAATACAATGCATCCTCCAGAGCCAGGCAGCCCAGGACCGGCCCCACAGAGGGATAGAGGGACCTGGGGCCCCCGGTGACGCACGCAGATCTGCATCTTCCCCAGCAGCTGCCACCAACAACACCCCACCATCACATGGCCCTTCTGGACATGCGGGGCTTTTGTGGGGTCACAGCCGGACCCTGCTTCTGGAGCTCTCACAGCTGAATGGGAACATGGCTGTCACTGCGTGTCCTGAGGGACTGGAAGGCCGAAGAAAGGGCCCAGCCTTTCTTGACAGGCAGATGCGTATGGGTCCTGATCACTTCCCAGCTGCGGCGTGCCCCCTGGTGACACATGGTGAGTAACCTACAAGAAGTGCCTTTCGGGAAGTAGCAAGAGCCCCCAGTCCTTATTCTGGGAAAGGTCCTCTTCGGCCCAAATAGCCAGCCTGGGGATTTCTCAGGATTTGCCCCCAGAGTTGGGAGGGCACGATCCTGAGGGGGTGTCATTCAGAGGGGGGAGCAGAAACCAGGTGGGGAAGCCCAGCAGAAAAGGCCTCCTAGAACCGCCCCTGCACCCCACGCCCCTGGGGTCCTGTTTCTTCTTCTGCCCATGAATCTGACTGGATCTGGTTTTCCTTCACCTCCACCTCCAAGGTGAGCTTTGGGATCCTGCCCAAATCCCTTCCTCTGTGGGTGGTCACTGCTACTTCCCCCAGCGCACGGTGGTCCGGCTGCTCTTCCCAACTTTGGGGCGGGGGGCAGCCCCTCAAGGACGCGGGGGGCTCAGGAGAGCGCCCCCTTCTGGTCGGGCTGACATCGCGTGCGGAGCGTCAGACGTGCTCAAAAAGGCCGGCTTTTACTTTAGCAGCAAAAAGCAGAGTTGGGCGAGGGGCTATCATTGCCTTTAGATGCTATCGTGTGGGTTCCAGAAAATACGTATGAAACTACTGTGTATGATCCTAGAATGGTGGATTTGTGTCACTGCATGCTTGTCCAAGCCCACAGAATGCGCAACACCAAGAGTGAACCGTGCTATCAGCTGTGGGCTTTGTGTGATTACGATGTGTCCGCGTGGGTTTGTCCCTGGTGCAGGACATCAGAGGTGACAATAAGGGAGGCTGTCCATGTGGGGGGGCAGGAGGCATGTGGGAAATCTCTACACCTTCCTCTCAATTTTGCTGTGAACCTAAAATTGCCCTTAAAAAAGTCTTAAAAACAAAAAAAGCACATTTGTACAACTGGTGAAATCTGAATAGGGCCAAAAAAATATCCTATCAGTGCCCTGCTACTTCCATTGTGCTATTGCCCTAGACTGAACATTTGTGTCCCCCCTCAAGTCCTAAGCTGAATCCTAACCCCCGATGTGATGGTATCGGGAGGCAGGGCCTCAGGGAGGTAACTCAGTCATGAGGGTGGAGCCCACATGACCCAGGTCAGTACCCTGATAACAGACCCCGTTCTGCCCTGTGAGGAGGATGAGGCGGCCACCTGTGAACCAGGAACTGGGCCCCCACGAGACACCAAATCTGTCAGCGCCTTGATCTTGGACTGGGCAGCCTCCCAAACTGTGAAAAACAGCTGTCTAAGCCACACCCAGTCTGTGATATCTTTGTTAGAGCAGCCGAGGACCAAGACGTTCGTGATGCGAGATGCTGCCTTTGGGGGGGATCTGGGTGAAGGGTACGTGAGATCTCTCTGTATTCTTACAACCGCATGTGAATTGACAATGATCTCAAAATACAAAGTAAAAAAAGTCACTCTTTCGGCTGGGAAAACAAAGTCCGGCCTTTTGTACATTTGCTTGTGTACGGATTACTCGTGCGGACACACGAGAAACTCGCCACAGGATGTGCCACTGGGAGGTGGCAGTTCTTGCTCAGAGTGAGGGGGTGACCGGCCCTCCTTCCACTGTCCGTTCTATTGTACCTTTTGAATTTTGTACCATGACCCTATATTACTGATGTGAAACAATGCAGTTAATTAATTTGAAAACAGCTAGCTTCACACGGGGTTTCTTTTTTTAAAATATTTTTTTAAAGATTTTATTTATTTATTTGAGAAAGAGAGAGAGAGAGAGAGAGAGAGAGCACAAGCAGGGTGAGGGGCAGAGGGAGAAGCAGACTCCCTGCCGAGCAGGGAGCCCGGTGCAGGACTCGATCCCAGGACCCTGAGATCATAACCTGAGCCAAAAGCAGACGCTTAACCGACTGAGCCACCCAGGCGCCCCAACGGGGTTTCTTTTTGGCAACACAAAAATGTTCTAGAACGGTGGTAACAGTTGTACACTCCTGTGAATATACTAACCACCACTGAATTCTATCCCTTAAGTGGGTGAACTGTATGGTATCTAAGTTGTATCTCAACAAAGCTGTTTAAAGGGGCGCCTGGGTGGCTCAGTCGGTTAAGTGTCTGCCTTCAGCTCAGGTCATGATCCCAGGGTCCTGGGATCAAGTCTCGCACTGGGCTCCCTGCTCAGCAGGGAGTCTGCTTCTCCCTCTGCCCCTCCCCCCCACTTGTAAGTGCGCTCGCTCGCTCTCAAATAAACAAACAAAATCTTAAAAAAAAAAAAAAATAGCTGGGCTGGTAACAGTGTCATCTCTTGCTGCTAATAAGAATTCCCCCGGCTCCCAGCGGAGCCAGGGGACAGAGAAGCCAGGGCATCGAGCCTCCTGGTGTCCGCATGGGGGGCTCAGGGGGCGGTCCTGGAGTGAGCTGGTATTTCTAGCTGGTCACGTAGCGCATGTAAGAGTCAGGGGTGGTGGCAACAGAGAGGACTAGAGGGATGGTGGGGAGTATTCTAAACTCCAGGCTTGCGGCTCCTCGTTTCTGCTGCCTCTAGACATGGCCTGGGCCTGCAGCCTCCAGGAGACGCAGTTCCCAGCGGGCAAAGCCCAGATAGTGTCCCCTGCTGCCCCTTCCTCCCAGGGCTGCCAGTGTCAGATGTGGTAAGGAGTGGAGAGCCTGGACATGAGACACCAGAAAGGCAGAAACACTCAGCCCTGGCGGGTAGGGCTTCCTGGAGACCCCCAAAGAAAGCACAGGAGGTAGTGTTCAGCTTAGAAGAGCACAGTGTTGCAGGAAGTCAGGTTTTTTAAGGATTAAAAAGTATAGAACCATGTAACGTCAGACTCCGATGCTTGTCTACACAGATTCACGCTGGTGCATCGAGCTCACCCAGGTCCCTGGGGCTGTGCTCTTGGAAGTGTCCCCGCCCGCCCCCCCCAGCCAGCCTCAGGAGAGGTCCCCTGGCAGGAAACCGGGGGGAGGGGGGGGGGCCCTGGGGGCTTCAGTGTTTCACCCTCTGTACGGTCATTTCTCTGTAGCATGTGGCTCAGCTAGGACCAGGCCCTCAGCCCACGCGGCCTCCTTGGAGTGCTTCAGCCACAAAAGTCAACTGTGAGTGACAGTCCTTTGGAAAACAATCCAGCTATTTCCTGGGACCTAGCAGGGCCTTGGGAGAGAAAATAGGATGATCTTGGCAGGGATGCTAAGGAGAAGGGCACGCAGGCCCGTGGAGCGCCCTATCCAGACCGGCCCTACAAGAGGCAGTCACAGACAGGGCGGGCCTGTGAGGAACGAAGGTGGTCACCAGGGCACTGAAATGTCCAACAGCGACCCTAGGAGGTGGGATTATGGGGGAGACTCCGCCCTTGATATCTGTGTGGGGTTTCCAGATTAGCCACGACAAATAAGGAGTACCCCTTCTAAACAGAGAAAATGTCCGAAGAGAAAAAGGACAAGCTGCACACAGGGAAGGAAGCAAACGCTCCCACCCTTCTCGGTGGTGGTAGGACAGCTAATAATTCCAGGAATCCTGAGGTCACAGGAAGTGTCCCCTGGCCAGCCACTCATGGTGGAGAACCCCCAGAGGGCCAGGCCTGCTCCCACCCCCACTCACCGGCGGGTACAGGGTGGCCTTGGTGCTGGACGAGCTGCTGGACGAGGCCCCGGTGACGTGGTTCCGGTCGTAGAGGGGCACTCCGCCCCGGCCCCCCATCAGGCTCACGGAGCTCATCATGGACTTGCCACATGAGATGCCTGCCAGGGGGCGAGGGGGACGAGGTGGGGTCAGGGGCCAGGCCCCCCCCCCCCAGACACAGCACACGCTCCTTGGCTCCTGCTGCCCGTGAGAGCCAGGCTCGGGGAAGGGGGGGGGGGGCGAGTCCTGTCCCGTCCCTGCCCCCACGGGCCCTCTGCCCACCCCCCGTGTGCGTCTCACCCACTCACCCCACACCCTGCCCCGGCGACTCGCCCCACCTCTGCCCAGGGCCCTGGCCCACGGCAGCGTCTTACCCGTGAAGGGACCGTGCTGTGAGCTGCCCGGGGCTATGAAGTTGAGGGGCACGTGGGGGGTCCCACTGACGTACTCATGCGGGAAGGGCCCGTTGGCCCCGGCGTAGCGCTGGCACACCACGCGCTGGCAGACAAAGTAGACCCCGCCCATGACAAAGAGGGAGAGGATGATGCCGATGACCGGCCCGATGGCGCTGCTGTGGGCCGGGCTGTCATCGGAGGGCGGCTTGGTGATCTCTGTCAGCGGACGGACAGGGAGAGATGGCGGACGTTAACCGCGAAGGCACGGGCTCTCCGGAGGGGCCGGCTCAGCACAGCACCCAGCGGTGGCAGGTGGGAGGAGGGAGATGCTGGGGTGCTAGGGCGCCAGGCTGATCTCAGTGCCAATGACATGCTGCCCCTCCCACGCCCCCGGCCTGCCTGGCGCACCCTCCTCTCTCCTCCTAGCTCCCCCCTTCCTCTCTCGTCCCACTCCCCACCTGGCTGGCTAAGCTTTACCTACTTTCCAACAGTCCCTTAACAGCAGCTCCCCTACAGCTGCCTGGGATCCATCCCCGCGTCTAGGGGCTCTCCGTGATCGCTGCAAGCGTGTGCACTGGAGGCCCTATGAGTCACGGTCCCCAGACAGCTGGGCCTGGGGGCTGTGAGCCTGTCTAGCAGGGGACATCACCCACGTACAGGGGCTGCGCTGGGCTGACAACACACCCAGGGCTGGAGGCATGCACTGAGCCCCACACGCCAGCCTGGCACAGACGCCCAACGTGAGGGTAGCGTGAGGGGCAGGGTGTGACAAAGCCTGGGCATGGGGGCTCTGCCAAACCTGCAAAGCCAAAGCCCACTCAGGGCTGCAAGGTGCCCAGGAGTCTTTCTGGGGTCCCGGCTAGTGTAACGGCCAGGTTGGGGGACTCCTGGGGCTGGCTCTGCTGTCAAAGCCTCAGCGGGCGGCGGGGGGGGGGGCCACGGAGGCTCTAAACTCAGCTTTGACAAAAGGACATTCACTTTCCCATCAGGCTGGCCCAAGGATTCCAAAGGCAACCCACTATGTCCCTCCTGCCAGCCAAAACCCAAAGGGAAGGAGGAGAGCGCTGGTTCGGGCGACAGGACCAGACTACGGATGAATATCACCCCTGACATGGGAACCAGCATCACGCCAGAGGCTGGAGACACCGTCAGACTGACACCTGCCCAGCCAATGGGTGGGGGCTCAGATCCCCGGTTGCCCCCATCTCTGTCCTCCGGCCCCAAGTTACCCACCTTCTTGAGATGGTAACCGAGGTGCCTCACCTGGCTTCACATGAAGGTACAAAAGTGTTTGGGGACCCCTGCTCCTACCCCACTCACAACACCTCTCTGCGGCAATCAGCTCTCAGCCTAGGTACCTCTACAGTAAGTGGAGAGCCCATGTCCCCAGACATGTGCGCACATTCCCACTTCCTGTCTGGGGCTCCAGCTCCCTTCCGGTCACAGCCTTTCGAGAGCCACCGCCTCCAGGGAGCCCTCCCTGACTGCCCTGGCCTCACATCCTGTGGCCCCCGTATCCCTGACTATACAGGCCGCATCACTCAAGAGGCGTGGAGCATGTGTGTGCATGTGGACACTGCACCTCCTCAGCCAGAGAACAGGCGGCCGGGGGAAGGGCCACCCCGACCCCATCAGAGTAGTCTTGCTGCCTGACAGATGCCTGCTGCGTGACGTCCTAGTGGGCAGAAGCGCGCCCTCTCAGGCCCCGTCCGCCGCAGGTCCGCAGGGGGCCTGTCTCTGTCACAGCCAGAAATACCCCAGGGCCCACAGCCCCCCTCCCCCTCCCAGGTCAGCCTCACCACTGCCTCTTCTTCCGGGAAGGCTTCCCTGCCTGCCTTGCCCCCAAGGCCCAGTATTCCCAACCTTCTGGCCTCTTCGTTCAGCCCCCAGCATACTTCTCCTCCTAGTCCCGACACTGGCCCGGGGCGAACCCTCGACGGGGAGCTGGCTCACCGCACATGAGCTCATCGGAGCCGTCGATGCAGTCGGGGAAGGAATCGCACTGCTGCTTGATGAGGACGCACTGGCCGCTGGCGCAGCGGAACTGGTTGGGCAGGCAGACGGCTGCAAGGAGGGGTCTTGCATTCAGAGGGGCTACGGGGTGTGATGCGACCAGGTGCGCTACAGGGACAGCCACCAACCGGCACTCCCTGCCCCGCCACTAAGACCCAGCAAGAAGGTCTGGGTTCTACATGCAGAGCAGACAAATGGGACCCTTTCGAGGACGGGGTCAGGGAGTGGTCACATCAAATCCAGTCTCCACCCTCCCCCCTCGATGACCCCTGTTCCGAGACCTGCGTGATGCTGGGGTAGGGATGGCAGGGAAGAGACCTCAGTGACGCCTGGGAAGTATTTATCAGGCTCCTACCACACAGGTCAGGCCCAGGCAGAGCCAGGACTAACACAGCCTCTGCCCCAAGGCTCACCTGAGTTACGGGGAGTGAGAGCCAACTAGAGGAATGACC